TAAGCATTGCATTTGAACTGAATAAAAGGTAATATTAAGATATGCCAAAAGATATTGCGCAAACTTGAAGAAACTGGATATTTCAGTATAATATTTTGGTTACATCATRAGGTAACTTTATAACCCTGACGGAGCCGATCTATTTTTCAATTTAATCATAGAATGATATGTTTACCAAACAAACATTTTTACACACGGCAGCGCCGAATAAAAAAAAATCGTGTTTACATTTTTACGCTTCATGATGACCTGGCATGACTAGATGAGTAAATGCCGCATAGTCGAGCCTTGACGTGCCTAAACACAACCCTCACAACAACTCCACCAACACTCGTAAACATAACACTCACCTGTAGCGAATTTAACGTCAATGTTCGCTAATGCTGCGTTCTGCTCCCACTTAAACTTCAAAGGGCTAACCTCAGCCCAGGCTCGGAAAGCCTTTTCCAAGGTACTCTTTACTTCAGCGTTAGTCATTTTTGAGCTCCACTTAGATACTGTCCATTTTAAAGTGTACTGAGAGATCGGCCATTTACTACCTTGAGCGGCATATCGTCGAAAACGTCTTCGAACTCTCATTGGGAGATTTCTCAATTTAGCTAGCTTGTTCCAGCCAATGGTCGCGGAGTCCTTGACTCCACATCTCGGAGCAAGGGCTGAGATAGACGGTGTGTCAACATTAAGTTTGTAATTCTTTTCTTCAGAAGAGCCGACCAGCGAGTTCTTCYTGCGTTGAAGTCCATTTCTGAGGACTTTGTCGAGAAATTTAGGATTTTTTAAATAAGTATTTTTAGCCCGCGCTTGTAAGGTGTGTTTGTCAACTTGATCTAAGGTCATACCACGACTAGTGGTCTTCGTTATAGGATGCTGTTTCTACAAATAAACACGAAAATAACATTTTCAACACATATCTGTCTCATTACCAAACATCGAYGAGTAATTCAGTCAATCGTTGTCGACTGTATGAATGAATATCAATTGTACTTACAGAGATTCTTCTTAACCTGTGCAGTTTTTCCTTTGTTGTTTGTAGTTGAGACGGCCTGCCATTAACCTCAACAAGAACAGTGACCAAAATTGTCGTCCTTAGTAGTTCTACAATCATAATTCATTGAGTATTGCTACAACTGTAGCAACTTGTCTTTACTACTATTTATCGTGACCCCTTCTGATGCTTAACGTTAACTAAAGATGTGACACCCGTCGACCTGGTTTTGTATCGTGCGTGGGAGGTGCCCGCTGTGAACCGCCAATGAGTGATACGAGCTTTTAACGAGGATGCGCGGAGGAAAACCAATATCGAAAAAACAGTAAAAAAAACTATAATTCTACGTGATTTTGTCGGGACAACTTTAGGATTGGAAGAGCACACGTATTCTCAAGTGTTCTGCCCACACTGAACATTTTGCGTAACTCGGCCCAGTTTAGTCAATGGACGGYTTGGATAACTGACACGACATAAGCGCACAGTTCTTGTATGTACGTATCTGTTACGACAGACCACACGCATATCATGTAAACATACAATATACAGATATTCAATGGAATGTTGTATGCTTGAAAATATAGTTCGGGTTTTCTTATACAAAGTTCGCTTTTGAAATTCAGCCRTTCATAAAAGGTACTAAGAATAACTRATTGTACATTTCACACCATTACAAGTTYTACCGCGMGCAAACTCAGCGAAAACAAAACTCCCAAATCTGTTTATAATTTCTCTGGAGAATTTTGTCCTCTAACTCTAGTACAACGGATGAAACGTTTGAATATTTTAGGCGTTCGAAAAATTTCCTGCAATGGCGTATCAAWTCGGACGCCGGCACTTCTCATGTTTGTTTCTCAAGGGAACATTCTTAACGTTCACCGCAACCTTAAAACTACGTCGGCAATTACGCGAGAATTAATGCGATATCCGCAATGTCGTAACTTACACGCGTATCACAAGGGAACTAAAGGAAGCGAATTGGGAAACCGCTTACTACAGTGTACACACGCGTATCATCGAGGACGTTCTGTTATATTCGTACAGTTTTTATTGTCTGTTTTAGCGGAAGGATATTCAGTCTTGTTCCAAAATTGTTAATTGAATGCGGAATAACCATAAAATGGATTTCAGGAAAAGACGACATTTTTTAGTCGTGCCAAGACATTGAAACATTTACCTCAAAATTTTAAAATGAATCTTCGTTTTCAAGTTACGTCACAGTGGCCATCTTGGAGGAACTTCAACAAAGGATTTCTCATTAGTATATAGTGTTTCATTCTTCCAAAATGGCCGCCTGTCTTTTACCTCATACGATCAATACTGTGTATCATTGCCAGTGATATATAATTGCTGTTTAGACTGCGCGCTTGTAGTTGTAAAGACATGAACAACCACCGAGTCCTTTGCATAAAAAGGTTTTCAGTATTCGTAGGAAGAATTGTAATTCTAAACTTTAGAAGAATAGCGAATTACATGTTAATGTCATCGCAAAGATGTTTTGGAGCTTTGGTGTTGAATATTTGCAAAGAATTTAAAAATATGATGATATGCAAATGACTTCGAACGYTAATGGCCATTGAATGTGTCTAAATAGTTATTTTTATTGCAGGGTTAAATCACTCAATCCATGAATCAGTTTTATTAAAGTCAAAAAACTTTCAATTACTACAAGTGATTGATTTATATAATATGTTCAATAACAACTACAAATGTAGCACTGCATGGTCGATCCCAGGGACTTCAACAATGCACAGRAGGTCGCTGTCTGAGAAATGGTTTCGATCAAGGACCACCTAGAACAAGCATATGAAAAAAACCTTTGTTTACTCTCATTCGACGTGCTTTTCATACCTAAACTATCGCCTGATTTTAGATAATTACTTGCATTCCCGTAATGCATTACAAACCTGGCGCGATGTCGTGAGGTCTACCCATTGATCGACTAATGATCGATAGTGGCACGAGACTTATCGTATGTTATTTGCTATTTTGAGTAATTTGCTTGCCTATGGTTTTAAGCATGACATCGAAGAACAAGACAAAATAAAGTGAATCGTTATGAAAAACGGTATTGAAGACGACTTCATTAATGTTTTTCGTTCKTTTGAGGAAACACCGGAAAAATTAAACCTTTTTTGAAACAATAATGAATTTATTTTTATCTCGATGACAAAGACCCAAATAAGAAAATATCGAACTGCATGAATCCGGGATCTGTCCAAAGTTCATGTTTATAGTAGCGCTAGTTGCTACATTATTTTATGTATATCGATTTCAAATAGGTTGTGCCTAGCAAAATAGGTTTTTACGACCGCATGGTTTCTTGGGTTTAAAGGCCTGGTTACTAAAACTGATATCAACTAGCGGCACATTACTTTATGGACAGTAATACTTCATTTTCGAGTTATACAGGGCTTACAAACGTAACAGAACAAAGAAAGCATTCTAAACCAAGGGTTCATAAGTTTAAAGAAATTTAAGAATGCAATCTTATACGCTCTCAATATGGACGATGTAATGCATAAATCAATCATGGAGCTCATCATATGTGTACAACCTTACTGAAAACATAAGCCTATCGATGAAAACCCGGGCATGATTTTAATGTTGTTTTATTTCCCTCAAGCAAAGCGGTCTTTACCGGTAACCGCAACATTTTTGGAGGCGGACCGGATGTTGTCTCAACGGCCGCATCGGAMTTATTCSGGAACCGAACACCATAGTGATCCAGGACACATGCAGGTGCAGACATGCCTCTTGATTATGTGGACATTGTTTTTATTAGTGGTAATACCGTGGAARATCTGTAGCTCTTGATATTGGAATTGCCCTTCTTCAAATTAAAATTGACACTGAACTTGCACAAAGAGCTAGCTTTAAAGAAACTATGAAAAAATATTAACATTACTTTGCCACGTTTGTTTCGAGTGGAGGCTAACCCTGCCCATAATCTATTATCTTAGGCCGTTTGGGAAGGATGCGTGTTCAGTAAAGAAGATCGCGCGTTTATCCGATTTTTTAAGGATTATTTCAAAGGAAATCTTCGCACAAGTGTGTGACCCTATCTAGAAAGCAGCACGCGTTCGCAAAAACACCTAGTCAAACTAAGCCAGGGTTAATTTCGATTAAATGGCCATACTGCAATGGGTGGTGCCGAAATAGCCATCTTCGCAAAGGAAATTAAACAAGTTTCATCTCGTTCAAAGGCTCCTGGTGTGTTCAGCTCTTTCGCGGGGCTTTTGCTYATGCTATTGAGCRTATGTATACCAATGAACGGTCGGGCAGGGACCGGATGAATAAGAGCAGAAGAGCGGAGTGTGCACGTAGAAGATGTCAAGTGATTCTTGTAATACAGGGCATTATACGTCTGACTTCTGGTAAATGTTTGCGTGAACGAATTTGAGGCGCGTATGAATGGAATCTAATATTCCGCATTGTACAAGTGTCTTAGCTGCACGGTCAACCACACGTCTGATCTTATTAGTCCCAGGTACGCATCTTGATCGGCATGCTGGGACGGGTCCATCATTATAGTCGTTACTCTTAATAACCCGTGAAACGCATTATAGTGACAATTGGTCAGTGTTTCACGCTTTAAATATCACAATCAATCCGATTGTACTAATCTATTTGTACTATATGTTATTTAGTGAGTGGTGTTCAGAAAGAATGRTGATTCAAAGGGTSCGGATTTTCTGCTTTCAGTTGCAGACTTAGCAGAATTTAATGCTATTTTTATTTAGTAAAATACTTCATTCACACGTAAAAAGGCTACTACATAAACGCCTGTAGCCATGCTTGTTTCTTTGTTTCAACTGCAGAATTACAGCAAGCAATGACGATYGACAGACGATGGATAATAATGAAAGGACTCGTTTTGAAGCAAAGGCACCGTTACCTTTCAACATGGCGCAGGAAACCACGAACGAGACTGTAAAAGGCGGGATACGTGCAATGGCAATTTTCTAGCATTTACAATCAGTATCRTATCAGAACAGTTTCAAGGTCACAAGCCTTCAACCTTAATATGTTTTATTYACTGCTTTTTACACGARACTCGCAGCAAGTTTCACCTATATTACACACCCACTAAAATGTTTTTCTAGCTAACGTTTGTTGTGTATCATTTYATGGTAAAGGCGTTGTCGTAGTAATTGCGTTTAAATGTTATTTCCTTATGTATTTACAATAGTTTTTTTTATTTTTTGTAAGGAATAGTCATCTCCCTTCTGTCATTACTATTCATTTCTTTTTTAACTCTAGAGTTTTGCAGCGAATATTTTTAACATTGTTTTTGCTATCGTTGCTTCTRTTRTTRACCTATTTTCATTCTGCCCTGGTGGGTCTTTCAAGACATCGTTAATTATTGTTTCTAATCACTGTTGCTGTTATTGATTGAGTCGCTTTCATGTCGATCGATAAGCGAGTCGAGGGTAAGGTTCCCTGAGTCCATACTCTATTTTGCTATATCTCAAATGTCTTAATAGTCGACTTTAGATATTTTGGTTCAGTGACCATGCACAAAAGAATTGCAGACGAGGCTCCGGGGAAATAAAAGAATAAATCAAGATTATCCATTGTTTCCCCGGAGCCTCGTGTGCGTTCTTTTGTACATAGTCATCGAACCAAAATATCTAAAGTTGACTATTAACTACACTGTCAACCTGTATACACTTTGTATGGACAATCTGTGGACGCTCTGCMGAGGAATTCTGTCTCCGGATACGTGTTGAATACGTGTGGATGCTCGTGTGCATATATAATACGATCACACCTCAGCACGCAAAGCGCATGCTCTGTACACCTATATTAATTCCTATACGCTAACTAAAAATCATTTGAAAACGACTCTATCATTTTGCAGCTTTTACGATCACGTTGTTTACAGAGTTCAGTTGATGTTTCAATTTGACTGACCATTAGTTTTACTAGTAGTTTGTGGTTGATTCTTTGTCTGTTGTTTTGTTTGCGGAGTTACTGCTGCAGGTTGTTGTGCAGTATTTTGCTGTGCCGTCTGAATCCTTTGTGTGACAGCAGTACCCTGGGTAGTAGACGGTGCTGATGAGGTTGGTAGAGACACTGAAGTAGTAATGACTCTTGTTGGMGTCAATGACTTACTGTCCCTTGAAACAGTAGTAGCCGAGGGAGTCTTCATGGGATCTGTTTTGGGCCTGTTTGCTGGGTTTTGTACCTGCATTCATACATATCAAATAAATAGATAAATAAACATTCACACACATACAAGTAGAGTGCATGCCACATAAGTGTGAAACAATAAGATTTAGTTTTAACAACCAACTAAGAATTGACCGATTCCGATTCATTTTCCTAACTCACTAGTTACTGTTGCTACGTCAGACAAGCGAAAATATTCCTTTGATATAGAGCATGGAAAAGATAGCGATTCCTGCGATATGTAGGAACTTGCCTTGTGAATATGTTTTCTTTTTTACATTTTCACCAGGAAAAGCTAATGAATTTAGTCGAAATATTGTCGATTTTGTGTTTGTTGCTCGGACAGTTTCAATAGACTTCTGAACCTGTTACGTCACTACTTGAATTTCAAAGCATTGTGGGATCAGTTTCTGGAGAAAACAAAAGAAATCCACCATGTTTGTCCCAAACATATCCTAYAATGCATTGCGTATACGGTTCATGACGTACAAGCTTCAAAGGTCTATTCTACTGGGAAAACTGCTCATTGTTTGTTGATTAATCTATGTGAAGAAGAGATCRGTGAATTCAGCAAGGCATAAACAAACATACCTGAGTTAAAACGTTTCCAACAACATACACATTGCTGTTTCCATCAGTAGAATTCGACGTTATCACCTTGGTACCATGTGGTAACCTTGCCAACAGCGACTGCATGCTTACTACAGTACCCCCCTTAAGCATCACCGACCCAGTGGGGATCCCCTGGGGGAAATTTACTGGTTTACCAGTGCTCCCTGGAGTAGGTTTYGGCGAAGATGTAAGTACACGTGTTACAGATGTTGTGTTGCCTGGTTTCAGGACCTGTGGTTTACTGGATACACTGGTTTGTGGAGAAGCTGAGCGCACTGGAGAAGCAGTTGTCAACACGTACGTGATTGTATTTGGGACCTTGGCTGTGGTGGACTGGGTCTTAGACGTGGCACTTCCTGTTTATGCCGACAAAAAGATTACATAATGAAAGTTTTTTTCAAATGACTTGAACACAAAAAGGAGAAAGTGAAACTGATAGAAGAAAAGACAATTTGAAAAGAAGTGAAAATAATAGCAACAACAACAGCAAAAATAACAAGGAGAAAAAAAAAACAAAAAAGAAAAAAAAGTATAAGATGATTCTTGTCAACCCATCAGTTCATGAAAGAAATGGCATTAGAGCATTGTACAATCACGTTGACGAACGCCAAATGCCAAGTTAAAAAAGGTAATGCGCTCTTGCATAAATCTATATGCAAATGCAAATCAACGCAAACGGTGATCACGTGATAACTTTTGACATTTGGGGTTCATAAAAAACGTGACTCCACAAGTCAATCAGTACGAAGCGAATTTGTCGATTTGAACAGATAGATCCCACGTCCCCAAACCAACCCCTACCTGAAAGAGAAGGGTTTGTCTTTTGTTGAGCTGTATTCACAGYACCCTGTGTGAAGGTCTTTACTGCTGACAATTGAGGTGACGCTGTCCTTCCCTGTTGTTGAACATTRCTAACAGCCCGTACCACACCCCCCTGAGTAGTTCCTAGTACTGTTCCTGGGTGACCAGGCGTGGAAGGACCAACGATATAACGGACCTGCGAGTGTGCCCCGATGGACCTTTGGGTATTCATTTGAAGTGATTTCGATACTTGKCCAGCGGTTGAGGCCTGTATAGATGTTCCTGGTGTACCTGGGGTTGATAGAAATAGTGAAATAGTAAGATAATAATCGTCATTATCGACGCTATTAAGAAATGCACAATGTGTACGCCATTCTCTACAATAAAGATGCTAATTAGATTCGCCCAATACACCTCTTCAGTTGCTCTTAGGCCTCGACAGCGTGTTAAATATTCTTTTGAATTTGTAGGAATGTCAGCAATGCAAACATTGATATGAATAGTCTCATTTGTCAAATTCAAAAGAATAACTAACTTGCTATCGAGGCCTAAGTGCAACTGACAAGATGTATTTAAGAAAATACAGAGAACCAGAGGATTCTAGATTCCAAGCCTTGAGATTCCGGATTCCAAATAATGTGTTTTTTTGGATTTCAAAATTTTTGCTGGATTCTGGATTCCAAAACTTTGGATTCCGGATTCCAGGATACGAATTTCGGATTTCAAAGCTGTTTTTACGGGATTCCGGATTCTCTTAAGCGTGGAGAATTAGATCAACAGAAAAATATTTTAGCTGAGCAGCCACGCACTAAAGGATAGACTCCATGACGGTTTCCTGCGCCATCTTGAAAGGTAGCCGCGCCTTTGAGTTATAGTGAGACTATCATCGAGTGTGCAATGGTTTTTGGTAAGATGTGAAAAGTTTCTAACATTGCTCGCTCATCAGTCGTTCCAGTGCAAAGGCATGGCTACCACAGCGCAGGCGGCCGTAAAGGAGACTATTAACGAGGCTTTTGTGCATGACCACCCAAAGACTACTTTCATTCCCAGGTTCTTTTCTACTTGTTTGGAGGTCATTTATCCCTAAACAAAGCTTAAACGGTTCTAAAAACCCATATGCTAGAATTTCTAAATAAATGTTTCCCGGATGGTCGCGTGATAATCGTTTCATTCTAAACGGTTTGAAGCAAACAATCCAGACAGTCCAGACCATGTAAGATTGTTATTAATAGTAACGAGAACTCCGTACATTCTCACGCATGCGAATTGCAGGACAAYGTGAATCTGAATAAATTCGGTCTATGTTCTCAAGCCGTTATAATGTCTTCCTCTTTTCCRTAAGGCAAAAGACCAAATAATCGGACTTTGAAACTAGACAGATATGTTTTCATCTTTGCATATTGCAATAGCCGAAAAAACTTWGAAGGAATTCTTTGTTTTTATACATGTATTATATAATTCTTTACAAAATAGTAAAACCAAATCGAAATAGTCGGTCCAAATCCTTCACAAATACATTGACTTGTCCAATCCAGTGTTCAATTTCCATATAAGACGTTGTTGCGCATTTTACATGTAAAATAGCTTAAAATTTGTACAAATTCATATTTTGATGATGAAATGGTTGCAAATCTCTCTCTCTCGCTACTGTGCCTGGTTGGCACATAGAGTATGAATGTGGGACATAATGCGGGCGAATAAGGGTCTGGGACTAGACAAGGTATCACCGACTTGCGCATTTTGCCTCAGTAGTCACGCGCCAAAGGCGTCAAGACGAGGTGCCGTGCATAAAGCTCAGTCATTCGTGAAAAGCCATATTTTTACGTTTGACTGTGCAGAGCGCCTAGTCTTGATTCTTTTCTGTTTGACTATTGAGGCGATATTCGCAAGTCGCCTATTGAATACACCTTATTCCAAAATGGCTGACTAGCCCTTGATGTCTCGTTTTCATGAAATTGTTCTTTTCTTTTAAAGTCACTCAATCTCAAAGACAAAAGAATAATTTTATGAGAGTGAGAAAACAAGGGCTAATTGAACAAAGGGTGGCATTTTGRAATACGGTGTATTAAAGTTGCCTTCAGTAAGAAATCCAACAACAAAATTTAGTTTGCTACCAGCCTAGCGTTAAGTTTTCATTATGCTACATTTAAAAAGTCTATTTTATTTGACTCGTTTTCTTTATGATTTTATTTAGAAATATTCAATGTTCTTTACTGACTAACGTTTTTTGAAAAGCACTCTATCTTACTATAGGTATCTGAACACYACGTGAACGGCCGATATCCAGGCATATCTAGGCCAGCTTTYAGTACTGYTTTTATAAAACATGTGGATATACATTGCTAGGKTCACTTGAGGAAATCCCTGCCCCAAACRCATTCTGAGAATAACAAACTTTTACAACRGACACTCGMAATGCGGAMACTTTATTGGGATTCCCAAGAGATCCTTTTTTAACGAGAGCTAATTGTATATTTTTATTTTAAATRCTATGTACGACTCGTTTATCTAGGTTTTATCAATACCTTTAGCAGTAGACGAGCGTACAATAGTTCCAGTAGCCGATGTACACACATGACTGCTGTGTAATGATGTTGTACTATAGGAAGTCTGTAGCTGTGGTATTGACATRCCAATATGCTGCGACGGTACTACTTGACTCATCACCGGTTTCCCAGAGATTGTYCTCTTCAAGGCATCCGAGTGCTGACCTAAAACACTACGTGTTGCTGCAGTAGAGATACTTGGTCTTGTCACAGACGTTCCACCACTGCCTGCTCCAGCAGGAATGATTCCTTGCGTTGGAACGGCGCCTTTAAGGTTCATGACCGAGGTGAATGGGGAGGATGGCGAAGGMGAGAGGGAGGTGTACCTCATACCCGATGCAGCGCTACTTGATTGGGTGACTGCAGTACTTGTAAGGGTCACAGAGCCTGTTGGAACTGGTAGATGCCGCTGGCTTTGTGGCTTGATGATGTATTGCACAGATCCAGCACCTAGATAATGAATGTAAAAATAAAAGAATTTAAGTAAAATGGTAATAGGAACGAAGCACGTAAAGGATCATGGTATAGAATGACTAATTTAAGGATCTAACCTTGTTTTATGATAGACGGTGATGCTGACATACTAAGATAAGACTGACTCACAGGAGGCTTTATCACCCCAGCACTTCCTTTAGCAGCCAACGATATGAACCCCGGGGCAGCTTGGGTATTCCCTGTGGCACCRCCTGATACAGCCCCACTGACAGAGGGTACCATCGTCCTGGGTGTGGCATCACCTCCTTCAGCCTTAATGCCACCTGCACTAGTTTGTGCATTCACTTTKGAAGACTTTGATTTGCTTGTTCGTTGTTTCTTTGCTGGACTTGSCTGATTCAAGCCTCTRGATAAAGCCCCCAGTGCACCCCCCACGGGAATTTTAATRACGTTTTTCCCATTGTCTGATAAGGTGAGTTTTTGAGATTTTCGCGGGCTTGATGATGCTTTAGACTTCCCTACAGATGTACCTATTTCTGTAGATAGAGATCGTTTACGTTTCTTCTTTTTTACATCGGTTTCGTCGGCGTCTGAGAGGTCATTACGTGGTTGCATGCTGTTGTTGGAAGAAGTCAATACATTGCCGAGGAACTCGCCGATTTGATCCTAAGATAACAATTGGTAGAATGAGAAAATGAATGAAAGCAAAACTAAAAAATAAATGGAACAATTAATACATGTAATGAGAAATGAATGGTAAAATAATACGATAAATGGATGGTTCGAAAGATGAAAGAACTGAATAATTGGACAAATGAATGGATAAATGAGAAGAAAAAAAACGAATGAACGCTTAAATGAATATATAAGCTATTTGTGTGAAATGAAACGTGAACAAATGAAGAAGGGTAAACCGTAGTTTGAATGAATAAATGGATGAACAATCAATCAAGATGGATAGGTGAAAAGATTACAATGTACCATAACCAAACGGTCCACCATGCTCTGTGTYAGACCTTCTTGCTTTTTCTTGGCTTTTAAAAGTCGCAACTGAAAGTAAGTTGATAGTGAAATAAAGAAAACCTTTTAACTAATCTAAAATGATTGTTTGAAAAACTAACCTGTTCATCAGCTCCTCCAACCACTAACAAACTAGTTTCTGTCTTCATTCGCTCTCTCATCTCCTGTACAACATTGAAGCCATCATTTTGTAAGTATTTATTTTGCAATGGACAATAATCCAGTTTCGAATTCTCCAATGCTCTGTGTTAGCCTCATACACCTTATTCCAAAATGGCTGACTAGCCCTTGTTGTCTCACTCTCATAAAATTATTCTTTTGTCTTTGAGCTTGAGTGACTTTAAAAGAAAAGAACAATTTCATGAAAACGAGACATCAAGGGCTAGTCAGCCATTTTGGAATAAGGTGTATTTGTGTGCAAAATATTCCTAAGTGTGAGAATAAAAGTGTGAGATTTCAAATCAATTCCATTGTCTTTCTTTTCAAGTTCCATGTGTTTTCTCGGGCTATCAATGAAACAAAAGAATATGTTACTTGTTTTTGAGGCTAACACAGAGCAAACCAGAACTCGAAATTGGAGTATTCAGGTGTCTGTGGTAAAGTTAGCAAATTAGTTATATACACAAAAGGGCTACTTGGATGAAAAATGGAAAAATATTGGAAAAGGCACATAATTCTTGTAGACTTACCAATAAGATTCCTATAGCCACACAGCAGCATATTTTGATATTAAGATATTAAAACAATTTCTCAGGAAGTTATAAATAGGTACAAGTGAGTCATATATTTCAATTATCCTGCACTTTAGACCTTTTCCATCTAGGTAGGACTTTTAAACAAAAATAAGGATTGTGACTAACCTCAATGTCTTCTTGTGAGTTCAGATTTGAATGAGAGCCAATCACGAACAGTACAGGRGTTTTCATTTCTAACAAAGGATCCTCAACATCCTACAACAAATTACAACTGTCATGTCAGACACTAAAGTAAATACTAATTGTCACTTTTACACATTATTGAGTATTATGATATACATGTGCAGTATTGTCACATTTTACAATCTTGAACAAAACGTTTTAGGACTTTCACATGAATTTGGAATGYCTATCCATACATTTCATAACTGCCATTGTTCATCCATATTTCTCCTGCCTAAACCCCTTCCCCCCTTTCAATGTTTCCCATG